TACTGTTTCCGACGACCCGAGCGGCTGTTACCGCGAGAGTGAGAATATTTGAACATGATTAATGATGGCATGCCCATCGGCGCGTCGTCGTATGTCTGTTATTGTTATTTAGAAAAGTATTCAAACCTTAAAATTTGATATAAAAATTTTAAAACCAACATAGCAAGTGTGTAACTCCAAGACGTGCGAGTGTTCGTGGTTATCTGCTAATTTTAAAGTTACACATGTTTAAGTGCTCAAATAACTTGTTCTTCACCCGTAAGTGTGGCTTTTGGAATCTGATATCGGCTCTGGTGGATAAATGTTCTATCCAGTAACACTTTTAACAGCTTAAAATATTATTTCGATTGGATAAAATCTTCAGCCTCCACAGCGGCCTCAAAGTTTAGCATGGAGCTCTTATGCAAAAAACGCATAAAAAATGAACTTTTTCATGTGAGTGCTCCTGTTAATAATTTCGCTGTTTTAATTAGTAGAAACGCAATGATCTTGTAAAAACGCTTCCGGAGATGTGCCACTTGGCCTTTCATTTCATATGTGTCCAGCCTGTATGCCCAAAAATTGCAATTTTGACGCAAAATCCGCTTCTTTGACAGCCCGCTGGTCATGAAGTACAGGTGCTCATTTGACAAGTAGCACATCTCCGGAAGCTTTTTAACGCGTAGAATTGCATTTCTAAAAATTGAAACAGCGAATTATACGACAGGAACCCTCCTATGGAAAATTTCAGTTTTTATGCTTTTTTCCCATAAGAGCTCTATGCTAAACTTTGAGGCTGCTGTGGTGGCTGAAGATTTTATCCGATCGATATAATATTTTACACCGTTAATAGTGTTACTGGATAGAACATTTATCCACCAAAGCCGATATCAGATTCGAAAAAAAGGGTTTTTCGAGGTACTCTTGTGCATCTCAGCAGTTAGACACCAGTATGGTCAACTGCCTAGCCAAACACGCCACTTTTTGAAACTTTGTGAGTGAATAGCTGCTGAAATGTATACTTGCAAGTGTCCACCTAGTGAGTTGAGCACTTGGAGCTAAACACTTGCACGTGTGTATTTTGGTGTTACAGACTTGCAGGTGTTAGGCAGGCACTTGAACACTCGTGTTCCCAGTGTAGAGGTGGCCCTCCAGTGAAACCTGGAACCCTTCACCCATTACGCATCATTTCAGATTTTGCTATTTTCGATGCACCCCGCGTTTGCTTTAGTACTTTGAAAGTTTAGTAACACAATACATACATTTTCAAAAACTATTAACATGTATGACTAACCATATACGGGTCTACTCATACATGGTCGGTACGGATGGGTTCCTCATAAAGACAGCCCAGTGCCCACAAAATTTGTGAAAATGTAGTTATTGCATTGCTAAAATTCCAATTTACACTACGCAAATTGGGCTGCATCAATAACAGCAAAATCTGAATTGACGGGTTACATGTTCCAGGTCTCATTGGATGCCCACCTTAATAAGCACGAAGTTTCCGTAGTGCTGTCATTCGACGCATCCGTGCAACAAAGGCGGATCAGAAAGCGGTCTCTGAACAACGACTATCTGCTTTCTGCTGATCTCTGCATACTTGACTTTGGAGGCCTTTCACTCTCCTTAGAGATATCGCATCGTATTAAGTGTTGTCTCTTTTTATTCACGAGATGATGACAATTAAAATGGCGTTTCACTGAAAACGAAACAACGTCTCCGCGATCAGTGAGAGGCCCCCAAAGTCAGTAAGTATTCTGAGATCAGCAAAAACCAGATCTTCATCGACCGTTTTCTAATCCGTCGTTGTTCATGAACTGATCAGTGACCGCTTTAATCCGTCGTTGAACAGCGACCGCTTTTTGATCCGCCTTTGTTGCCCAGATGCGTCGCATTGCTTTCAGTTCGCCAGAGGAATCGCCAACTGCAGTACAGACATTTGTTTTAAATTTTTATACTAACTTCGAAGGTTAGAATACTTTTTTACATAACAATTTCAGACGACGCCGTGCCGATGGCCGATGGGTATGCCATCATTGACAATGTTCAAATATTCTCACTCTCGCGGGAACAGCCG